GAGGTAAGGATTCGGTGGGTCATTCTGGCTACCACGTTTGTGTATGATCCGACCCTGGACCGCTCTAGCATCTATTGTCAAATTCGGGGTGTTGTCGAGTGGATGATTTGACTTTTGTGCATCGGAGCTAGCGGATTGACCGGCCCACCAGTTGCGGTTGCAGTTTGTCACCACACTCGGGTCGTCAATCTTGGCGGGAGTTGGCACGATGATAGGCCGCAGATTCTGCAGGATTTGCTGGATAATCTCTACTGGGAAGACGTCCATTGTTGCACTCGATTTCACACGAACTGCAACCGAGGCCCGGTCCACATCCCGAGTCCCATTATCGCATGCAAAAAGGTTAATGTGCCTTTACGGCGTCACCTATCAGTCCAAAAGAGAAAAAGATGGGGGCGTGATCAGTTCACTAGAGCTAAGAATCACGAGTTTACGCACCCGCGTAATCGTAAGAAGCGCTTACGTCGCTGCGCGACGAATTAGCTCGCCTGTCAGTGACCGCCCTGTTCCGACTTGTTCGTGCGCAATCTCTGAATCAAGAATCCAGGTTTGTAAAGAGATTGCGAGAAGACGGGACTAGGTTCGAGGAAGAAGCGTTAAACAAATGCTATAGGGAGGTCCAAATGAAATTTCGTCCTTTCACGAGTGACGTCCGTCTTCCATCAGTGCCTGTTCCCTCTTTCTGAAGATCAGTCCCTCCAGGAGAATATCATGCGAGAGCAAAATCGCCTGAAAGTGGCCAGCTTGGGAATATTGGAGGAGTGTACTACTGTGAAAGCCGTTCGTTGCGCCGGCCCGCCGGTGACCTTTCGCCCGTGCTGTCTGCACGCTAAATCTTAATAGCATAGATCATCTCTTGACGGCTGCGATAATAAAGTGAAACCCAAATTGGGCAAACTCTGTCATTTCCGAGGCTCTGCCAATCGAGAGGGCCTTGCAGGGGGCGTCTCGCCACGGTCCGGGACCAGCCGCTGGCCTTCTGCAGTAGGCCGGTGATTCTATCACCATTTGGTCCAGAAATGCTTTATCTCGTCTCCTGAGACCCTGTGTGCCTGGCTCCAACGGGGCTTCCCACTCATTCGAAATCAATGCCCAGAACTCCAACGGACAGGCGGCCCGCCATGAGCCGCCCAATTCCCCGTGTCACGCGTTGAGATCTATAAAATCCCCCCGCACCTCCAAATCTCTCCAGACACTTGGTTTTCAGTTCCCCACAGTCTCTCCATACACCTGTCGTGCCAGAGACCAGTCCCAAGTTTACCGATATCGCCATGGGTTGGAATCCTTTCTCGCAGACCGTCAAGGTCTTTCAAGACATCAAGGCTAACCCTCGCTACTACTGGTGCGTTGTGTGTCGTGTTTGATCTGCATGACTCAGTCGTCTGATCGGTGTTGTTTGCCCTACAGGATGGCTGCCAGTGCATGCTGGGGAGGTATGCTGTAAGTATCTGTTTTTTTTCGTCGAAAACGCCATCGCAAAGTGCAGCAACTTCGGCGTTGCTTGCAAATTCACATGGCCTGTTATGATTCCATGGCTGACGCGCGCTCGAACCAGTTTCGGTTGGGACTCTGGTCTGCTCGGAGGAGTGGTGAGTAATCAGCATTTCATCTCAAAAGTAACAGATACTGACTCTCCTTTTAGCTCCAAAGACCTTCCTTCAAAAAGGACTTTGGTCTCTCGAACGACCCTGTCGCGTTCGCTAACCACTCCGGATGGGTCGCCGTCACCTTGCACGCTGGTTGCTTCTTCGTACGTACAGCTTGCCAACCACCATTCCCTTTTCGCCATTACAATGTCCCCCAAATGACAAGGAAAACTAACTCTACTTTTTCCGACATATCACCCATGCGATTTGCAACCCTTTGTGCTTCTTTTCTTGACCGATCTTCTCGGGTCGACCTCCACAGGGCGCTATGAGTGCTGCTTTCTTTGCTGAGAAATTCGGTCGTAGGGGTGGTCTTTTCATCGCTGCTTTCTTGTGAGTGTGGCGCGCAGCTTGCGCTGGCGGCTCACCTGGTGTGCTGATTCTAACGCCCCATTCTTAATTATAGCTTCCATTTGGGTTCCCTCCTCCAAACAACTTGCAAGCTCGGTAGCCAAAGCTCTCACAATGCTTTGACCCAACTCTATATCGGTCGTGCTATTGGTGGTGTTGGTGTCGGTTTGGTCTCTGTCACAGTCCCAACAGTGAGTGAATTTTTTGGATAATTTTTGACGAGGATTGACACCCCTCCTAGTACGTCAGCGAATCGTCACCCAAGCACATTCGTGGTCGTCTTACCGGCATGTACCAACTATTCATCGTCATCGGTATCGCTATTTCCTTCTGGATCAACTACGGCTTGCTCCTCGACATTGGAGATGCCAACCCATCTTCCAAGATCTGGCGTATCCCCTTCGCCTTGCAGCACATTCCCGGAATCCTCCTCGTCGTGACCATGCTCTTTGAGAAGGAATCTCCTCGCTGGCTCGGTGAAAAGGGACGCTGGGATGAAGCTCGTTCCGTCATTGCTCGTCTTTCCCAAAAGCCAGAAGACCACCCCGATGTCGTCAACGAAGCCGATGAAATTAGGCACGATTTGGAGAAGAATGTCCGATTGACCTTCTCGGAGCAATTCAGGCAGGCGACTTCTAGCGGCAAGATGTTCTATCGCTGCTCGCTCCCCGCCATCTTGTACGTTTAACTGCTTTTCGAGTTTACCGAGTCCTTGCTGACCTGTCGCGTTTAGGATGTTCTGGCAACAGATGACTGGTGTCAACAGTATGAACTACTACTCGCCCATC